TTTCTAGCTTAGTAATAGAGCATATTGTCCAAACGATGAAAAAAAAAAACAAAAGGAAAATTTTTAATGCAAGTTTCTCTAATAATTGATGGCAGATTCTCTAAACATCAAGGAAAATTTGCATGCTAACTGATAATTCAAAGTTCTTGGGGCCAGATGTTTTCTTCTATTCTTACGTCGCCCCAATGGCCGCGAATACACTTGTGATAACGCCTATCGTCCAACCTAGAGTTGAGCGGTACCTGAACTTATTTTCTTCAGCAAGTGCTCGATATATTAAAGACAATGTCAGGGTTTTGCCCAAGATATTGGAGCTATTCGGTGTAACGTGCAGAAGAAGTTGGCTAAGGCCCCAATCCGAGGTCATTCATCCAAAATTGCCTAATTTTCAAATGGCGACCCTCCAAAACTGTCCAGTCTGCCATTCACAAACTTCTTTCTGGCGACGAGATTTAGGTGCTTTGATAATTTCTCTAAGGCCATGTAGGCTTTACACTAGCTAGACAATTTTTTGAAACATTGACTAAGCGGCAAATGACCCTTGAACATTACGTAGCGGAAGGTAAAAAATGTGAATATTTTTTTCTTTAAAAGTTGGTAGCACGAGGCACCGACGGCTTGTCCGACGGCTGTACGCGACTTGTGTGCGTCGGTTATTCGCGTTTTAAAGTCTCGGAAAATCGTTGGTTTAGTGTAGGTAGTATTGCCTGCTTCGAGAGTAGGTATATGGGTAAATAGCGTGGCGCCAATCCGTAAATAAAAAATCATGAGTGTGCACTGTACAGTTACTGAATGTGGAGAAATAACTGCCAACCGACTTGGGCGCCGCTTCTTCGTTGTTGAACTGCCAGCTAAGCACCCAGTGACCCTTTAACATTGCGTAGCGAAAAAAAAAGACTTCACTCTATTTTCAAAAGTTGGCAACACCTGGCAATAACCGCTAGTGGTCAGCTGTCTGCTGTGCAATGCATGAGTGTATGGCGGTTATTCAATATTTGAATTCCCGAATTGATAATCGTTGGTTCAGTGAATTATTGCTTGGTTCTTGGATATATAGGTGAATATCTTGACACCAGTCCGTAGAGAGCAAAATCGTCAGTGTACTGCGCTCGGATGTGGAGGCCGGCCGCCGGGGACACGTGCGTGCTCTAATACAGCTACGCATTCATCCTCTATTTTACCAGATGTGCAAAATTGAATTGCGCATCCGGCCTTGAAAGCAATAAGTAAATTGGTCTACAACTTTTTTAGTTACCGGGATGTCAAGAAAAATGCCGCTGGAGCGGCGGAGCGGCGGCGCGGCGGCCGGTTTTTGCTGCCGGCGGCGAACGGTTCCGTCTGAACATTACGCTGCTTACCTCTGATCGATTCGCGTGAAGATCTCTGTGAAGACTTAGAAATGTACAGACAATCTTATCGTGAAAGAAATACGAAATCAAACGGCAACAATTTGAGTTAAGAGTGTGTAAACACAAAATTGTTGTGACTTAAATCTTTTCCCGCATCGGCTGTCCCCCGCCTCAACTGGAAAACGTCTTATTGTAAGCAGAGCTCTATTTGCCATTTTTATGATTCGATTAACTAGATATTCTCAATGTACAGTCAAAAATGTATGTGCCGTCGGATAGTGAAAGAAATAATAAAATTGGGCGGTAGGTTTTTGAGATATGGGCGTGTAAACACAAAGTAGACCCGCATGTGGCATATTTCACCCCGTTTGACCTCATTTTACTTGGAATACATATATTGACCTAGTATAATGGAATAAACACAATATAGTTCCCCACCACGATCTCGTCTTTGTGGCTTTCATAGGAGCTGAGATATTGGGGCTTAACATTCGCCCCCACTTTTCCACTGGGCGTTGCTAAAATTCTCGGAACCCGTCCACTGCGCGTATTAAGTGGATCTGTTTTAATTTCGCTAGGAAGTTAAATTTCGGTCTAATACTGGTCTAGTACTGGCACTGGTCTAATACTGGTAATACGGGTCTAATACTGGTCCCACCCGCTCAGTCAACACGTCAGATGGGACCCTGGGTGAATGTATTTCGAATACCGGATTTACGAGTATATGCCCGAAATCATGCTCAGTGTGCGAAATTTAGTCTACGAGGGTCAAAGCGCTATATCCGCGATAATCGGTCTGCTAATGACTTGCCGTTCATCTTGTTTTCTTTTTCTGTCCATCAACGAGAGCTATAGCAGCCTGGGGAAATAAGATATTCACTTTGTGCGCTTTGCTACTGCAATTTTAACAAATTTGTATTATTGGCATGTTAATCATATATTTTTATTTGTGAATATCGTTTTAGAGGCCGTTTTATAGCGGCGAGTTGTATTTGGAAACGGGCAAATCACATTTGGGCCACCATCTCTCGGCCTGAGTTTGACTCAGCCACCCCTCTCTCTCTCTTCCCTCTTGGATACGTCAGCGCTCCTGTGTTAACTTATAACTCCATTGTTCGGTGATCGAAGAAGAATTACTTTAGTGTTGACCCGTCTTTACACCCATTTTGAGACTTTGGCCCTCATTCATGACACAGTTAGCCTGTGTGACAGAAACAGCGGTCACGTTCTGCAGGACGACCAAATCTTACCTAGATGGTGCGCTCCGGCCCTCAACATTACGAAAAGTGGCGAGGCACTTGTGCTGGCACTGTCAGGGACTGTGAGTACCTATTCTAAACGAAAAACATAGTTTATTAATATTTCGCCGACCAATTAGCGTAAAGTCATGTTGGACGCTCAGGGTACCTATGCCTTGTTAATCGATTTACCGAAGGGGCTACTGCACATGTGTAACACAAGAATGCCATTTCCGTATAGTATCAGACCAATGTTTTCACAAAAGTTGATGTTCAATTAACAATGATGCGTATTCAAGGCCCTATATTTTATGATATGTTTGTGTGTATAATAACACGGAACAAAAATGATACCTATAGGCGAACGCGTTTCGGCTAAATCGCCGTAATCAGGCAATTTAGCCGAAACGCGTTCGTCTATCCTTTTTGTTCCGTGTTATTATAGTTGTCTCAACTGAAATACAAGTATGTACATATGTATGTATGTATTGACATCAAAAGCCTTCCACATATGCCGTGGCGATTGAGGCTTTAGTAGTCGGACTCTCGTCCCCGTCTTGAGTTGGGATGTTAGCCTCACATCGTCTCTGCCTTTATACTTCTCCGGCCGTCGTGATGTGTACCTATACCCGCTGAGTGCTGACCACAGGAGCTTTCCAAAGAATAATGACGTGTATGGCGCGACGCCAAAAACATCCGGGCCCAAGAACATCTGACCACGGGCGGAGAAGTAATTGGCCGAAACGTTGTACAGCCTACAACCCAACTCAAAACCGCGACGAAAATCCGACTTCTACAATTGTAACACCTTGTCTCAAACATTGCGAAAAATTGCAATGTTGTGGAAATTAAAAATGGGGATTGAACATCATATGCCAAGCTTTTGCCCGTCCGACCCCGCTGCTGGTTTCTGGTCACCTCATACCAGGCGCGAGACAACTTTCACAACGGTTCAGAAACGAATGATGATGTGGTCCATCATTCGTTTCATCATTCGTGGTCCAGGTAAAAAAAAGAAAATGCATGTCAAGGGGCGGGTAAGAACTCAAGGGGCGGGTCAGGGTTGTATTGGAAAATCTTTCCTCAAAAGGTAGTTTGTCAAGATCAGCTGAACGAAATAACGTGCCAACTGCCAGGTAAATGGCATACAGGTATTCTCCTCTTTTGAGCTACGCATGCATCGTAGCTCTTGCACATGCCATTTTGTGTTTAGTATTATTTTCCATTAACAAAACATTTGCTATTACAATAGGAAAACGTAAAAAATTGTTCCCTGGTACGTTTGGTTGGTATTTTCAAAATGAAGTGGCCCAAATGCGAACTAATAAAAATGGGGTAGTTTGGTTTTTGGGACCGAAGTTGCCCTCCCCTCCACGGCTGGATAAAATGGAATGAAGGCAAAAATGGGTGAGCCACTGTGGGTGGGCCGACGAAATTTACTTAGCGTAAAAATTCATATTTGGTAGCTCTGAAGTCTGATATGGTGGCATTCCTCTCATTTCCATTAAAGTGACCATCCCACCTAACATTAGTTTTGAGTTGAGAACAGTAGCGGCGGAACACCTTAAATTGAGGGAGAGCACTGCCGACTTTTGGTCCCATTCTTTCCATGCAACGCCCATAGGGCTAATGTTAAAATGTCAAAACCAAGGGGGGCACGGTGCCCCGGTGCCCTCCCCGTTCCGCCGCCTATGGTTGAGAAGCCAAATTGGGGTCCCTAGCCTGCAATTACCGATTTGGGGACTCACAACGAGAACTGTTTTAATTCGGAAATATTAAATTTCAAAGTCTGCAGTTTTCGAATTTGAAAGGGCTAATGCATTTGAATTTGAAAGGGCTAATGCTCTTCGACGGCGTAGAGGTGAAGTCCGCAGTAATTTTAGTATTTCTAACGTTTTTTCAAATTGATGATTACGTTATTCGACATTTTGCGAAATGAAGTGGCTTAAATCCAAAGAGAAACTTTAATTTGGGGTACATACCTACCTTGGTTTTGTCCCCGGAATCGGTCTCCGCCACAGCCATGACCCTTGCCCCAAACTTCAAACTAGTTCGCGCGTCCCTGGACGTGAACTATTTTTTGTTGATATGGAATACCTACTTCAGTGAATTTCGATTTTCGTCTGTTATAAATGATTGTGTGTTGCCTTTTGGCACAAAAATTCCTTCTGATTTACTTACCTACCTTTCATTGAGTGATATGCTTGCTTGTACCTACAAAATGTTTTCCAAGTGTATATGAGTTGCGTGGTCATTTTCCTTAAAAAAAACTCACACATCTATTACGGAGAAATACTTGGTCTTCAAATTTTCGAAACTGAAGAAGGTATTTAGTTATTTTTAAACCTCTCCACCTGATTCAAATTGGATTCGGAGTTTTCCTTCACTCTGAAGCGCCGTCTGCCGTTGGCAGGTGCCGGCGCCGTTTCGTCGAGCGGCGGACCGGACCTGGGGGAGGCCTGGACCTCCGGTCGGCCATCATCACAGGGTCCAGAGCACGCCGGGTCCGCTGGTCCGCCATTTCGCCGGTTTGGCCGCGTTCCATGCCGGCTGCGTGGCCGGATCGGCAGGGCGCACTGCCTTCTGCGCATGCGTGGCCGCTCACCGGCCGCCGTGCTCGGCGTCGGCGGGCGCCTTTTTCTCGCCGGTTGTCCTGGCGGCGCTCAAACGGCGATGGCCGCCGTTACCGGCCTCGGCTCTGGGCCAATGGGCGTCCGGCTGCGGTGGGGAGACTGCCAGAGGCGGTGCCCGTCCGACCCCGTCTGGTCTGGCCGGCCCGTACCCCGGTCTCTATCGCCGTTGCTCGGCACCCGAACCGACCGCCGAGCTGGGCCGCGGCGGCGGCGGCGTCTGCCCAAATCGCCCGCCCGACCAGCACCTGGCCACAGGCGTCTTCAGGAAGGTGAGACTGCCTTCTCTCAATTTGACCTTGACTGGATGTTTTGTAATTGTCTTTATATCCGTTGTATATGTTTCTTTTTTGTGATCTTGTTCTGTCTTGCTATTTTCTGTTCAGGGTGTGCTTTATACCAGACTTTCGTCGGATTCTTGCAGGTTTGCCTTGATCTAGTGTAAATGTGTGGATACAGTACCAAAGTGATTAGCTGTTGGTTCTAGTAAGAACTGCATGGATATAAACTGTGTAAATGCTTGACCAAGTCGTTCTGATGCGTTTTTATATGAAACTTCCTGGTACCGGCAAGCTTTCAGGTTATTTTGGATAGTCATGTATCCTGTTTTACGCATGTAAAAGTAAAAGGTACGTGAAAGAAAGTAATGTGAAAGTTAGTCAATCTACAGTGACTGTGTGTTTCCCAGTTCTAGCATGGACAGTGAAACGTTTCCCATTAAAAGAAAGCTCATCTCACAAACACGCTGATTAGCATTCAGTCGTTGCATGCCGCCCAGTCCAATCAGTGGGACTGGGAGTGGCTTTGGAAGCTGATCCGTACTTTCATGAGCTAAGATGATTGGGCCCTACAGTCTCCTTTCTACAGATTCCTGCTTCATTCGGGAAACACTTGTTCAACTGACCAGCTGATCCATATAAACCAAATTGGGCAAATTTTATCCATGCAATGTAAGCCCTAACTTGGAATTAGAAACGTTTTCATTTTAAGTGGAGTTTAATAGACGATGCCCATTAAACGTTACCATATGGAGAACGTTTTTTTTTTTTGGGTGGGGGGTGGGGGTGGGAAGGAACCGCTGTATTCTAAATTGTGGTCGAAATCGTAAGTTGCTTTTTACGTCGGCCATTTTGAAGTGAAAGATGAATCCCCAGAAAACGACGCCCTTAAATGTCAAAAACGAATGAAGACGTTAAGCGTGTGTAAGCGTCTCCGGTGCTAAACGGTAAAGACAAGTATTGGAAGTGACAGAAGAGGAGCTAGACATGATGATGAAAAAAGTTCGCACCATCTTCATGCAGCAATTGGGGGTACAGAAAGTTGCAATGTTTCATGTTTTACAAAGTTGCAATGTTTCAATATTTTACAGAAAGTTGGGAGCTGCATGGGTTGGAAAGGGCCGTCCTCCATCATGACAGCGAGCCCTCACACAAAACACTTGTGTAAAAGCAAAGTGTTGCAAGAAGAGGACCGCAGTGCTCAAATATCCACCGTATTCAACAGATATCGCACCCTGCGACTTCCGGTTGTTCCTTTTACTGAAAAGTCAATGCAACTCATTCTCTGTCCCTGTCTTGGGTTAAGGGTATCATATCAGTGGTTAAAAATGGAGATATTCAGTGAAGTGTATAAAAGGAGGCTGATGGCCCAATCTGAAGTCATTCATCCCAAAATTGCTTTATTTTCAAATGGTTGCCATTCAAAGTCGATCTGTCTGCCATCCAAGAACTTCTGTATAGTGGCGAGATTTGGGTGCTTGGATAATTTCTCTTTAGAGGGTCCGTCATTGCAACAAAGCGTAAATACCGCTCAGTTGTTGGCGCTAAGAAAACCGTATCATCTCGCTCTATCTCTGAATTCATTCATAGCTTCGTCGCAACCGGCAAAAGGAGAGAAAAGGTATAATATGCAGACATGGGCACGGATCCAAGACGACATAGGCGGTGGAACGGGGAGAGCACCGAGGGACCGTGCCCTGCTTTGATTTTGGCATTTTAACATTAGTCCTATGGGCGTTGCATGGAAAGAATGGGACCAAAAGTCGGCAGTGCCCCTCCCCCTTAATTGAACGTGTTCCGCCACTACTGCAAGACGACCAAACAAGAAAATCAAGATATCCACTAGATAAGTGGTCTTTAACCCTATTCCTGGCGGGGGGGGGGGGGGCTCAGGAGCCCCCCCTGAGGTTTTTTGGTTATTTCTCCCAAACGCGTTGAGCTAGGAAGATCAAATTTTCTGACTTTTCCTAAAAGGCTTCTACGCAACATGTCTGAAAATTTTGAGTTGATCTGACCTCAGGTCAGGTCACCAGAGGCGGTTTGGTGACCCTACCTCAGAAAAGTTTGCAATCACGCCAGAGCTAGAGTTTTTGACCGATCAATTTCTTCTCTTCAGGCTATAGTTAGGGTACCAGTATGTGCAATTTGTATATCTCGGAATTTTGATATCGGTGACCTAAGGTCAGGTCAGTTTCGCGACCTCCCCATTATAAGTCAATGGGGAAAAAAATCAACTCCCTGTTTTTGCCACTAAAACGGGTCGGAATGGCCCCATATACCATACATGACTTCATATACGATCAACCTTCACTACCTTGAGGTCTGTTTTGCTGTTGGGCAGCTGTGAGGTCATGTGACGTCATCAAAGGTCACCAAAGGTTTTTGGCCAATAACTCCGTACAGGAACAAGATACAGACGCGTGGATGGTCTCATTGTGTTCAGCTCGTCAAGACGCATCGAATGATATACATGATGACCTCGAGGTCACGTGACCTGAGGTCAACCTTTGACCTTGACCTTTCGAGGTTAACATATATATCATTCGATGCGGATTGACGAGAGGATCACGATGATGCCCTTAGTTTGTTCCTATCTTGACTAATTCGAAAGTTATTCGAGAAAAACTCTCTCCATATCTAGCGCCGCCATTTTGACTTTTTCGACCCCTGTGACGTCATCTTTGACCTGACCTGAAAATGACCTTAGTAAAAATTGTAGATCTTGACCGTGCGTATCCGATGCCGTTTACCGTTTGTCGCTGCGATGTGTAGTTTTTGAGATCTGAAGGGGGGCCGATTCGGCCCCCCCCCCCCCCCGCCAGTTTCTTGTCCCGGCGGAGCCCGCCAGGAATAGGGTTAAGAGTGGAATTGTGGTGGAAAACATGGCTTATAGATGTCTCTCAACGAACCAACTACTTTGCATGCCCTCAGAGTTTGCAGTTTTGGGAAAATCCCTCAAGATTCATCTCGGATCCATGATCACGAGTCGTGGATCCGAGTTGGATCTTGAGGGATTTACTCAGAACTGTTTACTCTGAAGGAATGCAAAATAGTTGGTTCATTGAGAGGCAACTCTGAAGGAATGCAAGATAGTTGGTTCATTGAGGGGCTTCTTTTAGCCATGTTTTCCACCATAATTTCATGCTTGAAGACCGTCAATCTAATGGCCATCTCGATTTCCGTGATTGGTTGTCTGGGATCCGTGCCCATGTCTGATAATATGCGCACAGGGCATGTATATGCTTCACCCCCTGTCCTTCGAGGTCCTGAGGACGACAGCGCGGAAATTCGGTGGTGATAAACCGAAAGAGGTAGCCAAGGGTTCTCCGGTGGTTCTTCCGCTCGCCGCAGCGTAGCTGTACCGACACCATCATCCAGCAGTGGTTTTAGCAGGATGGATGCTTGCACGGTCCTGAACACCATGCATTGTCTCCGAGGGTGGATGTGAAATCGGGTAATTTTTCAGAGGGCACCGACATCGTATGGCCTCCGCGATCACCTGACTTAAACTGGGGGGGGGGGGGAGGAGGAGGGAGCTAACTATTCATAGCCTCCTCCCGTTTTCTGCAATAGGGGAAGTTGGGGGAACGCCGAATACTTTTTACTGACGCCCGTAGCACGCAAGGTAGACAACATAAGCTATTCTTGTTGGCGCCATTCGAGAGGCCAGTCTTTTGCCTTTCAAACATACCAGGCGCATTTGATGAATTCGCATACCGTTTAAGCGCACAAACTAAAAATATCAAAGAAGTGACTTTTTCGGCGTTGCCCCGGACTGCGGGGAAAGCCGAAAATGGGAGAAATGATCTACGGGAATGCCGAAATTGATGTTTTGCTATTTTATTTATTTATTTATTTATTTAGGCTCGTTACAACATCCACGTAGTGGCTTTTACGTTGTAGTGTCAGTATACATGAAAATCATCTCACATTTTTATGTGAAAATTTATCTCAAATTTTATCCAGAATTCGTCAAAGCTGACACGCGTTTTAAGAGCTTGAGGACGCTTGGTGCACACTGGAAGTTATAATTGTGTGATATAATAAGAAAAGGCCAGGTAAATCATTCCTTATGGTAACAGGCCGTTGTGTCGGTTAAAAGTGTAATTTGTGTGACTAAAAATACGCGTTGCTATTCTACAGCGGTAAAGTTCACGTAGCATGCTTTAACGCGCGTAATTGCACGTTTTCGGCATTACCCCAGCCAGCCATACTTTCATTTGCAGGCCCATAACTTTTCAACGTGCTGTATAAATTTCAAATAGGCAGCACAAGCTTATGCAAAGACGTACTGAAGATTACTTGACCGAATTGGCCAGACAAACGGTAGCATAATGAGTAGGAAATGCAGCTTCGAAGACGCATGTAGTACAAAGGAAACGTACCTTGAAAACGCTATTGGCGTCCTCACAGCCGAAGTATTCCGAATGACGACTGGTAACAAACATGCGATAATTGGTAGTCACTTAAGCTTCAGAGCATCACTGACAGGTGGCATCCATGTCGTATGGTTTTCGAAATATCTCGAATTTCGGCTTTGCCCCAACCCCGGCATTGCCCCAACTTCATCTAACTTCCAAACTAGTGGTGTCAATCGGTTACCAAAATTTCGGTATACCAATACCGAACCGATACCGATTCGGTATTCGGTATTTTATACCAAAAGCATTTGGTATTTTGTCGGTATTATGAAAGTCAACTACTGTCATAAAAATTAAAACATTTTTGATAAACCTTCTGAACTCAAATTTGATATTGCTAAATGACATTGGATGAAGAAAAAGGACAATCATGACACATTTCTCCCAAATGCATGATGTCATAACAAATGGGCAAACACATTAACTGCAACATCAAACACATCAGTCTACCAATGTTGAATGGCAACTTATCAGTGCCAGCAAATTCCAATACCTACCATGAGGATAATTATCTTACAAAAAAGCTAATGTGCAAGACATGTACATTTAACATTACATATATTACATTAAACA